AGCCTGGGCAACCTGGAAACGTAGTGAGACCCTGTCTCAAAATAAAATATAGAGAAAGGACTGGAAATGTAGCTTAGTGCAAAGGCCCTAGGTTCAGTCCTTATCCTAGTACTGCAACAAGAACAATCATAAAAAAGAAAAGGTACCCAAAGCTTGAACATAAAACAAACATGTAAAGCAGGCAAATGTACTCGTGGCTGGCTGCCCAAAGATTATTTAATTGTCTAGGAGAATGAGGAAGACAATGGAATTGGTTCAGTGAGTCAGGGCTAAAGTGTTGCTATCCATTATTTTTAATGGCTTTCATGAAATATATTTCACATACTGTAAAGCTCATCCATTAAGTGTACAGTTTGTTAGTTTTTAAGATAGCCACAGAATTACAGTTTAATTTTAGAACATTTTCAACACAAGAAAGCTGTAACTGATTAAAGTCTCAACTCTGTAAAGTTCCATAATAATGTGTGGATCTTCATTCAGAAGAGATGCAAATTATTTCTGTTTAGTAACAAAAGTAATTCCATAGGTTATAATTTTGTTGCACTGGAATTTAACCACTCTAACATTTCTTCTTTAATGCCAGTGCCTATTGCTCTCATTCTTCTTTGATCCAGACTTATCATCCTGTTGGTTCCTCTATGAATGAATTAGTTTCATCTTTGACACATGTTTATTCTATATTTGTATGAAAAGTGTGGTTTAAAATTTCTGAAACATATTCTGATAACTTGATTCCTCTTAGCCTGATGATGTGGACATAGTGGACAATCAACACATATAATTGGATTGACTGGAGAGATGTCTAGGAGGGAGAATGGTCTCAGAATAAGCAAATGAAGTTGCATGTTATTTTGCACTTTCATTCTCAAATTCTGAAATTTTATGCTAGAGTTAAATTTAAATGAAACTATTATTTCCTGCCTTCTATGTGAAGGTTGGAAATTAACAAATATTCTAAGAATATAGTTTTACTAGCATGATATTTTTACAAACCTATAAACCTAAAATGTTTCTTTTTATGTAAGTGGTATATGTGGTGGAACAAAATTTGAAAAGTATAAAAGGAAATGCCCTGAAAAACAGTCTTCATGCTGTTATTTCACTCAGGTGACAAGGTGCCCCAGAGTAGCTCTTGCTATCAGTTTCCTTTGTATCCTTTCACACACGCACACACACACACACACGCATGCACGCATGCACGTGCACATGCGTGCACACACAGAGTCTTTGAACTTTGTATTCAAAAATATATAATATAGGGCTGGGTTTGCAGCTCACTGTTGGAGCATAGGCCTAACAACTATGAAGCTCTGGGTTTAAACTCCAGTACTCAAAAAAAAAGACATCATGTGTATCATTTTGCAATTTTTGTTTTGTTTTGAGAGAGGGTCTCGCTATCTAGCACAAGCTGGCCCTGAACTCACTATGTAGCCCAGGCTGGCCTTGAACTCACAGCAACCTTCCTGCCTCAGCTTCCTGAGTGCTGAGATCACAGGCGTGTGCTACCACGCCCGGCTTGTAATTTGTTTTAACTTACTAATATGTATTAAAAATTGTTTAATGTCAGTCTAAAAGCCATATATTGAGATGTGCCTCATAGAATGTGTCTGTGAGCTGGGTGCTTTCCATTCCTTTCCCTGAGACCATAGGTCTTCCCCACCGCCACCTCTTGCAGGAGCTGCCTTTCTCCACTCTTCCCTGGGCACCACTACAAGCTCCTTTCAATATGGTGGCCAGAAGGACTCTTTCTGTGCATGGGTCCGAACATCTCCCATTCAGAGCAAAGCCAAGACTTTACAACCGTCCATGAGGTCGGTTCCCTAAGAGCTGCTCCTCTATCACCTCCCCCTTGCCTTTCAGCCTCAACTCCAACCACCCTGCCCCACTCACTCCATGCTTGTCCCCACGGCCTTCTTGGTGTTCCTTAACACAACAGCAGGCTCTTCCCCGAGGCACAGGTTGAGGCTCCTGGGCACAACCTTTTGTGTTCCCTGCAGATATCTGCATGGATTTTCGCTGACCTCCTTTATGTCTTTGGCTAAAGGTCACTTCTCATTGAACCTTCTTTAACAGTCCTTCCCCTGCCTCACATGCACTTCCATCCCATATACCCACTCATGTTTCTCTGTACCCCTCATCAGCATGGACACACCACATAATTCACTTAATCACTGCCTGTGTTCAAGCTCCATGAGGCCAAGGAATTTTGTCTTTTACTCACTGCTGGATTCTCAGCACAAAGTCTGTACCAGATAGTGTTAATTGAAGGAATGGATGAATTTACACATCTGTAGTGGAGTTCCATTAGTGTGACCCAGTTGAGTGCAATTTATCCATTGCCATATTTTGAGACTTTCATATCATTTGGTCTCTTATGACACTGGTGGACCTGCTTAACTTCTCTGAGCCTTAACTTCCCCTTCTGTAAATCAGGGCTAATATTCATCCCTATATCTTATAGGGCTGCTATGAAGATTAAAACTTTTTTAAAATTTAAAATGGTTAGCATCATGCCTGGCTTATACTAAGTTCTCAATAATATGACTATGATTCCTCTCATTTTTAATGATTAATTAAATTTGACTCATGAGAATATATGGTTTAGTATCTTATATGTGATATTAATATACAACCCACAGTGTGGGAAAATTTTTTGCCAGTTGTTGCTCAGACAAAGGACTAATATCTGGAATATATAAAAAACTCAAAAAAATCAGACCCTCCAAACTTAAAGACCCCATCCAAAAATGGGCATCTGAAATAAATAGACATTTCTCAGATGAAGAAGTAGAAATAGGAAATAAACATATGGAAAAATGTTCAACATCACTGATCATTTGAGAGATGCAAATTAAAACAATGCTGAGATTCCACCTCACTTCAGAGAGAATATCTAATATCAAGAAATCAACCAACAACAAATGCTGGCGGGGATGTGGGGAAAAAGGAACCTTTCTGTACTGTTGGTGGGAGTGTAGACTGGAGCAATCACTGTGGAAATCAGTGTAGAGATTCCTCAAAATACTAAAACTAGAGGTTCCATTCAACCCAGCTATTCCCCTTCTTGGAGAAAGAATTAAAAGCATCATGCCACAGTGATATATTTGCACCCATGTTTATAGTGGCACAGTTTGTAATAGCTAAGTGCCCATCAACTGATGAATGGATAAAGAAGATGTGGGGTTTTTTTTTTTAAGCAATGGAGTACTACCCTGCCATAAAAAGATAAGCTCAAGACATTTCTAGCTAAATGGATCCACCTGGAGACCATACTCTTTTTCATTTATTTATTTTTTTGGAGACCATACTCTTAAGTGAAATAAATCGGACACACGTGTAAATATCGCCTGGTTTCTCTAGTATGAGAAACCAAAAGTGTACATAAGGACCAAAATGTATAGTAGATATTGGGAAAAAGGAAGAAAATGTTCAAATTTAGAAGGGGAATAAGGGAGGGGGAGGAAGAAAGGAAAAAAGGGACAAGAAAGAAAAAAATGGAGGGAAAAAATAGAAACAAGGCTTTTGTAGATAAAGAGGGGAGGGCAGTTGGGAGAGGAGGGGAATGGGAGGAAAAGAAGCAAAATATACCATGTACAGATACAAATTCCCTATGATGAATGTGATCTTCATGTGTACCTAAAATGTACCAGTAAAATAAAAAGAAAAAATTTATAACATTATATATAGAAAAAAACCCAAGTTCATATTTTTAAACCTGATAATGTTGACTTTTAGTGATTATCCCTTCATAGTACAATCAATATAAGCCACTTTGTTCTCTTTTTGGAGAAGTATCTCAACAGCTGTGGAAAAAAGCTTTGAGCTCTTCTGAGACAGAGACCTTTATTTTTGCATTTCCCTTTTCTAGCTGGTCTCATGCAATATACTTGCTCATTAAATTTTGTTTAATATATGAAAGGAAGGATGAATTTCAACTGGCACAAGTTAGTTCATATTGTTTGAAAGGCTGTAATGTGGTAGGCACCACAGTAGGCAAATGGGATAGCAAAAAGAACATTCTGTGGTTGGCATTTTTTTTAAGACCTCAAGGCTTCTGCATAGTAATCACTGAGTTTGGAGGATGTGTACTGATTTCAGAAGTAGTTTTTTTAACTGGGGGAGGTGGAATTTGAATTTATCACCTTGTGCAAAGTTAAAAAAGGAAAAAAAAATCCAGAAAGATGTCTTTGCCACCATTTCTCCGAAGGGCTCTTCAAAGAAACAAAATGTCAATGGTTTATCAAGAGTGAGGCAGCAGATACGTCAGTGTGGGAAATCCTATGGTGATTCAAGACCTCTGTGAATTCCTGTGGTTCCCACTAAGTCCCCACGCATTTTGTTTCCTGCCACATCTCCTTGCTTGTGCAGAACAAGAGGGTAACAGTTGGACATCACGCCTGAGGCAAAGAAAAAGCTCTGACCTGAGTCATAAGGCCTAGCCGAGAATCCAGTTCTGCATTCTGACCCTAAGCAAGACAATCCTGAGCCTGATTCCCCTCCATAAACGTACGTTTTTGAAAAATTAACCTCTTGCAAACAGAAAATGCTGAGAAAATTTTCTATATCCTGGAAACCACTGTGATAACCAGAGTGGTTCTGATGGGTAGCAGAAGCTTCTCTGCACTGTTACCATTCACCCAACATCGACTGAGGGCCTGTCTGAACTGTGTTATCTACATGCTGAGGACACGGTAGGAATCCAGATGGGATCCCTGCCCTTGGCCAAGTACAAGGTCCCCCTCTAGGATTTTGTCTCCAGGAACTAATTCATCTGAAGTGAAAATGTTTTTGCAGCAAGATGGTCCTTGGAGGGGTGTCTGAAACAACAAGAAAACCAGATGTATACAACCCAGATATGTACAAAATAATTGTTTCATAAATTTAGCATCCCAATATTTTCATTACAAAGAGTATTCTGCCTTCTCCTATTAAAAAGAATACCACATGGCAGGGCCAGCCTGTTCCCTGTGGAAGTGGTAGTTTTCATTGTTGTTGTTGTTGTTGTTGGAAGGGCTGCTGAAGCAGTCTTGAGGGGTGGCTACTTGGAGGATGGGACAAAGGGGTATGTGATGGTGACAGGTCACAAAGGCCAGCAGAGGATAAATGCAGCGATGTGAAGAGAAGTAGACAAAAGCCCTGTAGGGAGATATGTTGCCTTCACTCCCTCTCTTGGGGACTTGATTTGTAGCTGGCAAAGATGTCTGGAGTGAAGAGAACCCTAAGCAGCGAATATGCGCTACCTTACTACACAGCCCACAACTACCGCTCCGTGGGCTTGTTTAATACCTCCATGGGGGACCTGCAGCGACAACTGTACAAGGGAGGAGAGTATGAGATCTTCAAGTATGCACCAATGTTTGAGAGCGACTTTATCCAGATTAGCAAAAAGGGAGAAGTGATTGATGTACACAACCACGTCCGAATGGTGACCGTGTGCATCATGTCCACCAGCCCCATTCTCCTGCTACCTGATGTCATGTTGTTGGCCCGGCCAGCTAAAGTCTGTGATGAACACACCAGATGCAGCCTGCTCACCAAGAAAAGAAGTCAGAAGCCCAAGAGGACTCTAGAACTCACCAGGCTACTTCCCTTGAAGTTTGTCAAGCTCTCCATCCATGACCGTGAGAAACAGCAGCTGCGCCTGAAGCTTGCCACGGGCCGAACTTTCTATCTGCAGCTATGCCCCTCTTCAGATACCCGAGCAGATCTCTTCTGCTACTGGGAAAAGCTTGTTTATCTCCTGAGGCCACCAGCTGGCAGCTGCAGCAGTACCCCCATGGATCAGACTGGGGATGCAGCCACTCCCAAGGACAAGAGCCTACTGGTGAGCAACTGGAGCCTCAGGGAAATGGGGTAGGGTGCTTAGGGAGAGAATCCCAAAGCAGGTCATAAGGGCTCTCTGTGCTGGGAGATGCATTGCATTTGAAAAGGCTTAGGGCCCAGTAAACCACCACGAGGGCACTTAGTACCCTGGGAAGTTCAAATGCTTCTCCAAAATGCACTCAGTGTCACACACCTTAGGTAGCAACTACTCTGTCTCACACCCAGTGCTGTAACCGCTTCTACAACATCCCGATGGTCCAATCTCTTCTTAAACATTTTACACCTGAGTCCATTCATATGGAACATTTTTAAAATCCAGTTTAAATAAATGTTTTTGTACTTTAAGTGATGCATAGTAACTGTACATATTTATATGGTACAGTGTGATATTTCAATGCTTATATATGTGTAATAATCACATCAGGGGAACAGGCATATCCATTACCTCAGGCAGTTGTCATTTCTTTGTGCTTGGAATATTCAAAATCCTCTTTATTAGTTCCTGAAATACACGGTTAATTTTTGTCAAGCAAGTTATCCTACTATGACACAGAATGCTGTGTAATCCTCCTATCCAACTCCACCCCAGCACCCATTAATCATCCTTCCTATCCTTCCTCCTACACACTCACCCCAGGTTCTGATAGACACCAGTCTATTCTCTACTTCTATGAAACCAACTTTTTGGTGCAGAACATTTTTAACAATTAGGAAGTCTTCGTATTATTTGAGCCATGATCTGTCTCCCTGTGACTACAATGGGCTGGTTTTTGTGTAAATCAGCACAACCCACACATGTGTATGTAAAGTCACAATTTGTTTCAGCAGCCATCAAAATGTGAAATGTATGCCTTGACTCAACAATCGCACTTCTAGACATCTGTCCTGCAAAGAGAGAAGTACAATGTGTAAAAGAAATCGTGGGCCAGGGAGTTGTATCTGTGAGTTCTTTGGGACTAGAATTGTTCAAGTGAAACTGATTTTTGACAGAGGTGTGCAGATGAGATCTTGTAATGTGTAGGAGCTGAGATTTGACAATTTCAAGAGTTCTAATGTGAGCCCTTGAGTTGCTCAGCTCCAGGAGGGGACCATCAGGCACTTCTGACTTTGTTTTCTGTGTCTCATCTGTTCCCTCCCCCATCTTTGGCATAGGGTTCAGACCTCCATGGAGAAGGAGATCAGGATTCTATGGTTCTGAAGCTTCATGAGGTTCGTGGAGCCAGCTCTTCTGCTTATGCTGGGGGAGAAGGAATCCAGCAGGCTGCTGCAGGATCATCCAAAGGAGAAGTAGCAGGGACAATGAGTGGTGTTGCAGTTCTGGGGGCAACTACCAGTCCTACAGCAGGTATGGCAATGGCAGGGACAGTGACGGGCCCCAAAGGTGGTGCTACGAACATGGCAGCAGCCAAGTCCACAGGCTTAAGCCAGGTAACCACGGCCGTGGCAGGGACAGCCACCAAGGATACAGCAGAAGGTGGATCCAGCAAAGCCATGGCCGCTGCTGCCAACATATCCTCATCTGATGTCAACGTGGTGCTGGTGGGCGCTGCCAACACCTCCTCAGCAGGCACCTCCACCATGGTGGGGACTGCTGGGGTCACCCAGGACAATAGTGTGAGTGTGGTTTTTGCAGGCGCCATGACGACCAGGGCACCTGTGGCAGAAAAAGCTGAAGGGTCTGAGGTAGCACCCCTTGTATCAACCTTGCAGAGCGAAGGCTACATGTGTGAACGGGATGGCAGCCAGAAAGTTCCCCAGGTCAATGCTGAAGCCAGGAAGGAAAAAAGGGAAAGAAGAGAAAAGAAGAACAGAAATGCCAGCAAGAAAACTTCACATCACCACAGGACAGGTGAAAGTCACCACCACAGGGGAGATGGGGACAAGAGCCAGAAATCATCCTCCCACTGGTCTGTGTCAGGCCATGGGAACAAGAGAACGGAAAGAAAAGAAAAAGGGCAGAGCAAAGTAAGGGGCAGGGGCCACGGGTCCACTCACAAAAGCTCCAGCCACAGCTCCGCCAACAAGGAGTCCAGGACCTCTCACAAACTGGGGAAGAGACGATCTGCAGCCAGTTCCTGCTCTTTAAGGAAGAAATCCAGTAAAATCAGCTCTTTTTTGAGGAACTTTATAACTGTGCTGTGTTCAAAAACAGCCCTCATATCACGTGAAAGAGAAGGAGACGTCATGGCGAAGAAAGTGGAGAAGTGCAACAGAGACGAAGATGGATAAAGGCCAAAGTGGCCAGGAGCTGGAGATCAGTGGCACCATGACATCTGAAGCAATGGAGACCATCATCTTTGAAGCCAAATCCATTTAAATAGGAGCCAGAGCAGGAAGCTATAACAACAACAATGGAGAGCTGGGCTCAGGAAAGTATCCCCAGTGAGACAATTACAGTTTAAATAATAAAGGTAATATAACTCCAAAAGTGTGTGCTGTCTTCTGCTTGAATATCTCTGTCCCACAGGCTGGCAGTGACCTCACAGTGGCTTTTGTGATGTTAATGCTCCAGGCAAGGACAGCCTCACATCCCCCAGACCCCAGAGAGCCAAAGTTGAGGAAAGAGCATCAAGTCCTTTCTACCTTTGGTTCCCTAGGACTATGGAGGTCACAGACTATGGGCTGGACATGTCACCACCATCCTTTCCCCATGTCTTCTTCCCTTCATCATGAAGGTCTGTGAATATAGAGATTCAGTTCAGCCAAACAGACTAAGAAAGACTACCCTCATATTTCCATGGGGGAAGGAGAGGGTCCAGGAACATTTATATGCAACTGGAACAGTGGAGTCACCATTAGATCAGGACTTAGCTGCTCACCTTCAGAGGACCAAACATAGCCAGCTGCTTAGATTTGTAAGCAAAGTTTTATTGGAACATAGTCACAGCCATTCATTTATGTATGGCCTTGGCTGTTTTCACACCAAAATGGCAGATTTGCATTGTGGCTATAAAGACTATATGGCCCATGGAATCAAGTATTTACTCTCTGGGTCTTTATAGAAAAAGTTTGCTGAATCCTGATCTAATCATAGCAATTCTCCTTCCTCCTATGTATATGCCCTGGACAAAAGCTTACAAATATTTATCAGGGGGCTGGGGATTTAGCTCAGTGGTTTCACCCCCTGCTGCGCAAGTGCAAGGGCCCGAGTTTGATCCCTGGTACCAAAAAAACAAATATTTATCAGGAAACAGTGAGATGAATGTTTATAGTAAAACAATTTGTAACTGCAAAACTCTGGAAACAGTCCAAATGTTCATTTACCAAGCAGGAGAACTGATAAACTGGTACAGGATGTGGCGCTTGTAATACAACAGTGAAAGTGAATAGCAGGTATTTACTTGAGCATGAATCTTACATAATGTTGAATAATAAAAGTAAGTCAGAGAAATATGTACCATAGAGTTCCATGTATAGAATAGTTCAAGAAGAAGAATAAACAATGTTTGATGTGTGTATTTGCCGAAAACAGCAGAATAAATAAAATTCAAGATAGTGGTGGTCTACAGTATGAAAAGGAGATGCAGGGTATAGGAAGAAGTTACAACAGAGTGGGAATTATTTATTTTTTGTGGTACTATGGTTTGAACTCAGGGCCTCATGCTTACTAGGCAAACATTGTACTGCTAAGCTACATCCCCAGCGACCTTTTCATTTTAAACTTTTGAGACAGTGTCTTACTAAATTGCCCAGGTTGACCTTGAATTTAAGATCCTCCTGCCTCAGCTTCCTGAGTAGCTAAGATTACTGGCAAGTGCCACCATGTCTAACTAAATCGTTCTATTTCTCAACCAAGAGGGTATTTCCATGGGAGTTTATTATTATATCTTTATTTTAACATCTCTGAAATCAGCATGGCTTTTAAGTCACTGTCATCCAAGTGGCAGTTGTATGTCATTGGCACTGTCTTAAAAATACCTTAGCTTGTTTATTTCACTTGTCTTCCTTTTTATATCTGTAAAAGAGAGACTTATAAAAATCTAATTCTGAAAGACATCTTGCAGTAAGTATAAAATTTAGTGACATAAAAATTATTTAGAATATTGAAACAGAAAATGTTTAAACATATTGCTAAGAATTAAGAGAGGGTTAGACCGGGGATTTAGCTCAGTGGTTTTGCTACCTGCTGCACAAGTGCAAGGACCCAAGTTCAATCCCTGGTACCAAAAAAAAAAACGAATTAAGAGAGGGGTGGGAATGAGGCTCAGAGGTAAAGAACATGCTTAGGATGCCTGAGGCTCTGGGTTTGATACCCAGCACTGAAAAAAGTAGTCCAAAATACTATGTACTAATTAATGATATAAATTATGTATAATCTGGAAAGTAATTCCAAGAATAAAAAAACTATGCTATGATTGAAATGAGTTAGAGATTTTTTAAATACCATGAAAATTGCATTTGTCCTTAATTTTTCCAGCATTTAAAAAAAATTTAATTTTTATTAATGTATATTTGCAGTAAATGATTATATTCATTGGGGGAATTGGTACATGTTCATAACATACCTCCATTACATCTCTATTCTTTTGTTTTCTTAATTTTAAAATCATTTATTTTGCTCTTTATTTATATTTTGGATATTCATGTGAAATCACATGAAATTTAAGCTTTTGTGTCTGATTTATTACACTTACCATTATGGTCTCAAAGTGCATCCACGTTCCTACAAATGATTCAATTTTATCTTTCTTTATGGCAGATTAGTATTCCCCTGTGTATAATTTCCACATTTTCTTTATCCATTCATCTGCTGATGGACATATAGGCCTCTTGCAAGATTTAGCTAGTATGAATTGTGCTGCTTTAAACATGGATATGCATGTATCACTGTAATATGATGTATTTAATTCTTTTGGGAAGATACCTAAAAGGGGAATACCTGGGTTGAGTGGAGTTTTTAGTTTTAGTCTTTTGAGGAATCTCCACACTGATTTCCATAGTGGTTGTATCGGTTCACATTTCTGCCAAAAATATAGAAGGGTTTCTTGATGATAACTATTCTTTCTGGAGTAAGATGAAACCTCAGTGTTGTTTTAATTTGCATGTCTCAAATGGCCAATGATGTTGAACATTTTTTTTTCATGTATTTATTGACTACTTGTTTTTTGCAGAAGTGACCGTTCATGTCAGTGCCCATTTTTTATTAGGTCTTTTATTTGGGGGGTCTATTTTTTTAGTTCTTTATATATTCCAGATATTAATCCAATATCTGAAGAATAGCTGGAAAAATGTTTTTCCCATTCTGTAGGTTGTCTCTTCACTCTGTTGTTTCCTTTGCTGTGCAGGAACTTTTCATTTGATATGGTCCTATTTCTTGATTTTTGGTATTATTTCTTGTGCAACCGGGGTTCTTCTGTTCAGAAAGTCCTTGCCTATCCCTATGTCTTCAAGAGTTTTACCTGTTTCATCTGCCAGTGGATCAAGTGTTTCTGTATTAACATTTAGATCTTTGATCCATTTTTTTTTCTTTTTTGGTATCAGGGATCGAACTCAGGACCTTGCGCTTACTCTTGCAAGGCAGGTGCGGTGCCACTGAGCTAAATCCCCAGCCCTTCTTTGATCCATTTTGATTTTAGTTTAGTACATGGTAAGAAATATGGACCTAAATTCATTCTTCTGCACTTGGAGTCAGTTATCCCAGCACCATTTATTAAAGAGGCTATCATTCTTCTAGCATTTGTTTTTGGTCCATTTGTCAGAGATCAGATAGCTAAATGAACATAGAGTTGTTTCTGTATTCTCTATTCTGTTCCATTGATCAACATGTCTTTTTTTTTTTTTAACAAATGCTATACTGTTTTTATCACTGTAGCTTTGAAATATAACTTGAAGTCCAGGATTGTGATGCTTGCAGCCTTGCTCTTGTTGCCCAGGATTATTTTTGCTATTCTGGGTCTTTTCTGGTTCCACATACATTTTAGGACTGTTTTTTCTATTTCTGTGAAGAATGCTATTGGTATTTTGATTGAGACTGCATTTAGTCTGTATATTAGTTTTGGAAGTATGGCCATTTTGACAATATTGGTTCTGTCTATACGGGAACATTTCTGTTCCATTTTATGATATCCTCTTTGATCTCTTTTTGTCAGAGTACTATAGTTTTCATTGTGGAAGTCTTTTTCCTTCTTTTTCTTTTTTTTTTTCAGGGGGAAAAGCTTTACTGAGAAACTACAACAAATTCCAGAGTGCATGGTTTTCAGCTTACCTCATCACCCACTAGCACAGAACACTCAATCACTACACATTCCCTACCTCAGGATGGAAGTGCAGTAACTAGCATCTGGTCTGAGAGCTGCTAGGAAAAGAGGAAGGAAGGAAGGAAGGAGTGTCTGGGAATACCATCTTCTTACTCTTTCCCCCTCCTTCTTGGCCTGGGTTAGTAGAATCCAACTTTCCCAGGATGCAGAATTCCTGATTGGATCTTGTGGAAGTTGGGGGCAAAGAAATAGCAGCAAGAGCGTTTAAGAGCAAGAATTCAACTGGGACTTTCAAGCCCCAGCCACCAGAATCAATCCTTCAATTATTGACATGTCCTCAATCCCAAGATATCAAGAGGCTGACAAGCATAAAGTCAATCCTAGGAAGTTCTTTCAGTCTTTCATTAGGAAGGGTTGCTAGTGTGTAGAACTGGATGGCTTAAAAAAAAATCAAGCAGCTAAAGGTAAAAGAGTGTGAGCCTTCTGTCACACAGTACCAAGAAAGAGTCTGCCATGGCAGTGTCCTTCCTGAGGTGCTTCACAGACAGACCAGCCTCTGGTTACAAGAGCCATCCTGGGAGCTTCCCACAAGACTTAAGGAGAGGTTGGAGATCTGAGACAGAGTTGAATTTCTTGCCTTTCCCAACTCCTCCACTAAAACAGGGAAGGGCAGAAGCGAGGATTCTTCCATTCTTGAGCCTCCTAACACCTAAGGGTGAGCCCCATGCTTTACTGGTCATTTGTAAAGGGGAAGATGACCCCAGGTGTGACCTCCGTATCAGTACTCTTGCTCATTCTTCCTTCAAGTCCCTTTATTGCATTCACAGAGAATATATAGGTATTTAAACTTTGACAATAATTTTAACTTGTACATCCAAGTTTGGCTTGCTTTTTAATATATTTATAGATATAAAATTAGGCCTCTAACAGTGATAGGGACCAGTAGATTGCTGCCACCAAATAATTTTTTAAAAAAATAACATAAGAGGTAACATCCTTCCTATTCTTCCTCCATCCCTGCCCCTCCATCCACCTCTTCAGTCCCTCTCACCAGCCCTATTTAGGGGCTGATGGGATGATGAGAAGAGAGTGAAGGATACATAGTCAAGTGCAAAACACTGTGGTAAGTACAGAGGATGAAGTGGAGAGGACAGTGAAGAGTGTGGGATGGTAGGGGCTCTAAGGATTCTCAGAAAAACAGGATCCTGGGGTGGGGTTGCTGGTGTGTGGTGGGGAACCAATGAAACTCATAGACTTTTAAAAACAAAAAAAGGTCAAAAACTTAAAGCCAAAGAGAGAGTGGCAATCCTACCCTCCACTCTGGCCCCTTGGTTCTGAACAACCAGTTGTTCCCCTCACACTCCCTGCAAAAGAAACAAGGGAGATTATAAAGAAAAAGAAGCCTCATTCCCTATCCTAAACCAGTTAACAAAACAGGCTCTCTCTCCCCCAGAAAAAAGGCTTCAGGGAGAGGCAATTTCTGCGAGTCCTTTGCATTTCGCCACAGAACCCCATTCCAGGGCTCAACTCCCACTTCTAGGTGCTCTGTGTTGGTTCATTTCTCTCAGGTCTGCCCTCCTGGGATGTCTTTCTTTTATCTAAATAAAAGGTCCAAAGTGCGTTTCTGTTGAATGCAGGGGCCCGGGACAGGAAAGGGGTGCCCAAGCAGGATTGGGTTGGCAGCCCCAACCTGCCCCTCCTAGGGGTGAGGCCTCAGGATGGCATGCACTGGACCCGGTCCGGGCCCTCCTCCTCATCCGAAGTGTCTGAGGAGCTGGGAGACTCATCAGAGTCTGCGTCTGTAGCCCCAACCCCAGGTTCTCTCCAGCGCCGGTGATGGTGTCTCTGTCTCAGGTGATGCATAAGGAACCAGAGCATGTGGCTATCGAACAGGTCAGTGTGGTGCAAACTATCTTCATCACGCTCTCGCTTGTTCTTCTTAATCACATCCTTTAACCCTGTCAGCTCAGTGGAAGCTTCAGCTGTGGGTGCCCAGATCTTCACATCATGGTCTAGGCCACTGGTTGCCAGCACAGGCAGATGTGGATGGGGCTCAAGACAGTTTACCTGTGGCATTATTTCTGTGGCCCTTGTATCTTTTAACATATTGGGCCCCATCACTGTGAGAGGAGTTGAAGAGGTAAATGTCTTCATCATTGTAACTGGCTGGGAGCTCAAGTGATGAGGACAGAATTTTTTGAGTACTCCATTATTCTTGTTCTCATCAATTTTCTTCTGGTCATAAATTCTTACAAATTGATCTGGGCCACCCACTGCAAATTGATGGGTATTGGCGGGATTCACAAAGATTGTATACAATCCCACTTTCTTCTCTTTTTCTTTTGTCACCACCAGTTTCGAAGCTGGCCAATCTTGTCTCAGGTCGATGGTAAAGACAACTGCATCTTCACCTGCAGACAGGAACGTACAGGGAGAGTCTGGTTCCAGGGCCAACTTGTGCGATGCTCCTTTGTGTTGCACCACATGCTTTGTATTCTTGCAGCACTGTGTGGCAGACAGTTCTGCTACCTGAACCTGTCTATCCCGGGCACACATGGCCAGGGTGGAATCTCCACTGTTGGACAGGAACTTGGCCTGGAAGACATTACTTTTGTGACCACTCTCAAAGTCAAGAACTGGCTGCCGCTGCACCCAATCCCACACCACCACCTTCAGGTCATCGCTGCCACTGGCCAGCCAGGTGCCACACTGGTTAAAGTGCAGGGTGTTGACACAACCGGTATGGCCCTCAAGCCCATGCTGCAAGCGGAAATGCTGTACAAAGACTCTTGCTCCACAAGCCTCATACACAAAGAGAGCACTTGAACCCAGTGCCCGCTCCCGAAGGGCAGGAAGGGCTTGCCAGCGAGGTCTTGGCAGGGCTGTTGTCTCTGAGGACACCCAGTCTTCCAGGGCCCGCTGATCATCTGATGAGTTCTGGTCACGGCTGGCCCGCTTGCGTGTACACGGCGCCGAGGATGTTCTTCTTCCTCCTCTTCTTCCTCTTCCTCGGAGCGGTCATGAACTCAGCTTTCATTATTGATGGAGTAATGACCAGTGTCCTCCATGCTGTCAGAGTCCTTTTCTTCACCTGTGCTCTCCGTGTCTGTGCCACGACTTTCTGTGCTGGTACGGTTGGGGCCACCTTCATCCTCAGTCAAACTCAAACTCAAGTCTGAGGCCTCCACTTCAATGCCTGAGGATGTCTCCCTCCCCTCTTCTGCTCCAGACATCTCCTCTGGACTGCTAGATAGGCTTCCATTCGCTAAGTCTGTTCTATCATCTGTGCTGCTCCCTTTGGTGGACATCTTGAATGATGTTTACTGTAAGCAGCACTGGCCAGCGGCCGCCACCACTGCCACCTCTGCTCTCTGCAGCTGCGCCTCTCTTTTTCCTTCTTTGGTTAGGTTAATTTCTAAATATTTAATTTTTCTTGATGCTATTATGAAAGGTATTGTTTCCATAATTTGCTTCTTGGTAAGTTTATTATTGTTGTACAGGAATGATATTGATTTTTGAGTGATGATTTTGTATCCTGCTACATTACTAAATTTGGTCATTTATTTTAGGAGTCTTTTAGTAGAATTTTTGAGTCTTCTATGTAAAGGAGCGTGTCATTTGCAAATGATAATTTGACTTCTTCCTTTCCTATACATATCCCTTTTATTTCTTTCTCTTATCTGATTTTTTTGCTAATGTTTTGAGAACTATATTGAACAAAAGTGCTGAGAGTGGACATCCTTGTCTTGTTCTTGGTTTTAGAGAAAAAGCTTTGTTTTTCCCCCACTTAAAATGATATTGGCATTCGTTTCTCATAAATAGTTTTTATCATATGGAGATATGTTCCTTCTATACCTATTTTCTTTGGGGATTTTTATTATGAATGATGTTGTATTTTGCCAAAGGCTTTTTCTGTTTTGAGATGATCATGTGATTTTTGTCCTTCTATTTATGTGATGTACTACATTTAGTGATCTGCAATATGTTGAACCATCCCTGCATCCCTGTGATGAGTCCTACTTGGCCATGATCTTTTTATTTGTTGCACAGTATGCCAGTATCTTGTAGAGGATGTTTGATAATTTTTTTTTTTTGGTATCGGGGATTGAACTCAGATCCTTGTGCTTGTGAGGCAGGTGGTGGAACCACTGAGCTAAATCCCCAGCCTGATGTTTTTTAATTTTTAAAAATTTTATTAGTGCATGTTTGCAGCACATAATGATTATATTCATCATGTGGAGTGGTGCATATCCATAACACATCTTAATTCTTTTTATTTCCCTTCTCAGCCTTTCCTTCTATCTCTCTCCTCCCTCTATCTTTTGGTCTCATTCCCATTTGCAAAACATCTATCTCCACGTTTCCCATTATCTATCTTTTGTTCTTTTCTTATACATGTTTGTAGTACATAAAGATTGCATTCATCATGGGGAGTTGGCACATGTACACGACATATCTTAATTTCTTTTTAATACACTTCCCCTCTTCTCCCTCCCTCTCCCTCCATCTATTGGACTTGTTGAGGATTTCTGCAGTATGTTCATCAAAGAGATTGGCCTGTAATTCTCTTTTTTTGGTTGGGTCCTTTTTTGGTTTTGGAATCAGGGTAATTCTAGTTTCTAGGAATGACTTTGGGAGTACTCCTTCCCTTTCAGTTTCACTAAAGAGTTTGAGGAGTATCTGTCATCATATCTTCCCTAAAGTTCTTATAGAATTCAGTGGTGAATCCATTGAGACACAGGCTTTTATTAGTTGGTAGTTTTTTTTTTAATTACTGCTTCAATTTCATTGCCTATTATTGGGTCATTGAGGGTTATTTTTATATCTTCTTGGTTTGGATTTGGTAATTCATGTATGTCTAGGAATCTATCAATTTCTTCTGAATTCTCCATTTTATCAGAGTACAGGTTCTCAAAGTAGTTACTAATAATCTTTTAGGTTTGGGCAGAGTTTGTTGTGATTTTGCCTTTTTCATTTTCAGTTGCATTTATTTGGGTCTTTTCTTTCCTCTTTTTAATAAGATTTGCTAGGGGTTTGTCTAGTCTTTTAAAGAAACAGCTCTTTGATTCATTGATTCTTTGTATTTTTAATCTCAATTAATTTCTGCTCTGATCTTTATAATTTCCTTCCTTATGGTAGAGTTGGATTGTTTTTGTTTTTCTAGGATCTTTTAGGTACATTATTGGGTTTTTATTTGGGCTCACTCTGTTTTTCTGGTGTGGGGATTCACAACTATAAATTTCTACTTAGGACTGCTTTCATTGTGTTCCATAGGTTCTGGCATATTGTACAGGCACTAACATTTGATTCTAGGAATTGTCTAGTTTCTCCCACGATTTCTTCTGTGACCCACTGTTTATTCAAGAGGATACTGTTTAATTTCCATACATTTGTATAATTTCTGTGGTTTTTTTTTTCTTTCATTGATTTCTAGTTTCACTGCACTATGATCTGATAATATGCCTGGGACAATTTTGATTTTACATTTTTCACTTACTTAAGCATGCTTTATGGGAGAACATGTGACCTGTTTTATGAGAGAAAGTCCAATGTGCTGCTGAGACATGTATTTCATTTTTGTTGGGTAGAATGCTCTCTCTCTATGTATCTGTTAAGTTCATTTGTTTGAAGGTTTGGTTCAACTCTGATATTTATTTTTATTTTTATTTTTTTTGTCTAGTTGATCTGTCTAGTTGTGACAGTGAGGTATCGAGGACCCCACTGTGATTTGTTGATGTTTATCCTATCTTCTATGTCCAGTAGTGCTTGTTTTATGAAGTTGGGTGTGCCGGTGTTTGGTGTTTATGTTTATAATTGTTAACACTTCCTGCTGAATTGTTCTTTTAACCAGTATGTAGTGTGATCTTCTTTGCCTCTTCTGATCAGTTTTGGCTTGAAGTTCACTTTGTCTGAAAATAGGACCGCTGTATCTGTTTTTTTCAGGTTCTGGTTACTTGGAACATTGTTTTCTATCCTTTGATTTTTTTTTTTAAATTTGTGAATTTCTTTTTTGGATTAAATGTGTTTCTTGTATACCGCATATCATTTGCGTTTTGTTTATTGATCCATTTTGCCAATCTATTTCTTTTGACTGGGGAACTCAGACCATTCACATGGTATTACTACTGAAAAGTATTAACTTATTCCTGTAATTGCATTATTTTCCTGTTGATGATCCTCCTCCTTTGATTAACTGCTCACCCTGCCAGGTGTGTTCATTCTATTAGTCTTTTTGGATTTTGGTTTCATTGTCTCTTTCTAGGATATCCTTGAGAATTTTTTGTAGTGCTGGTTTGCTGGTCATGAATTTCTTAAGGTGCTCTTTGTTATCAACATACCTTATTTCTCCATCAATTTTGAAGACAAGTTTTATAAGATATATAAGTCTGGATTGAAAGTTGTTCTTCTTTAGGGATTGAAACACTTTGCTCCAAGCTCTCTTGGCCTTAAACGTTTGTGTTGAGAAGTCTGCTGTAATTTAAATGGGTTTACATTTTTAAGAGATCCAGTGCTTTTCTCCAACAGATTTCTAGATTCTGTGCCTGTGTTGGATTTCTGGGAACTGTTTCTTTTTTTTTTTTTCTGGTACCAGGAATCAAACTCAGGGCCTTGTGCTTGCCAGGCAGGTGCAGTGCCACTAAGCTACATCGCCGGCCCCAGTAACTCTTTCTTAATTTTAAAAAGATGACAATTTAATGAGTTCATGGAAATTATTATAGTAACAATATGATAAAAGTTAGATTTGAGAAAAATAATTGTGGCACATGTATTCATTTGAGCTTGGGTAAGAGACACTTTCTTAGTCTTGCAATTTTTATTCTCTTATAAAGGCATCTTCTAGGACAGAAGTTGTATTTTCAGAAAAATAAGCACATTCTCTGAAGAGTAAAAAGTAAGAAATTAAGTGTTCTGTGGGTTTGGCAGTATCAAGGGGAGCTTTTAATCAGTTGGTCTGGTGAATGTCTGGAAAATCCTACCTTGTAATTTTGAACATACAAGGGCTGATATATGCTGGGAACTCAAATGTGCTTGGAGTTGACCCTTGAGTGGTGGGTACAAGCAGAAGGAGTGAGAGGGGCACATTTTAAAGATCTGAAGGTCTCCCGACCCGGCTCCTCACTCGCCGCAGCCGCCTCCGCCGTGTGCCTCCGCCGCGGACTCCGGCGCTCTCTTGCCAGAGTCCCCGAACTCTCGCTTTCCTTTTCACCCGCTAAACCGGACCACCAGCGAGCTCCACCATGTCAGATGCGGCCGTGGACACCAGCTCCGAGATCACCACTAAGGACCTAAAGGAAAAGAAGGAGGTTGTAGAAGAGGTGGAGAACGGAAGAGACGCCCCTGCTGATGGCAAGGCCAACAAGGAGAACGGCGAGCAGGAGGCAGACAAGGAGGTAGACGAGGATGAGGAGGAAGGCGGGGAGGAAGAGGAGGAGGAGGAGGAAGGTGATGGTGAGGAAGAAGACGGAGATGAAGATGAGGAGGCAAAGGCAGCTACGGGCAAGCGGGCAGCTGAGGACGACGAGGATAACGACGTTGACACCAAGAAGCAGAAAACCGATGAGGATGACTAGACAGCAAAAAAGGAAAAGTTAAACTAAAAAAAGGCCACCGTGACCTATTCACCCTCCACTTCCCGTCTCAGAATCTAAACGTGGTCATCTTGGAGTAGAGAGGCCGCCGCCCGCCCACCGGGCAGCGCCCCCTGCAGACAGCTCTCCACCGCCCACCCAAAACCCCGACGCGAATTCGCCACAGGGGAGGAGAAAACCAAAACTTCCAAGGCCCTGCTTTTTTTCTTGAAAGTACTTTAAAAAGGAAAATTTGTTTGTATGTTTTATTTACGTTTTTAATTTTTGTCCATATTGTTAGGGGTCAGCCAGTGTTGATGATCCGGATGACCAAACCTGCCTTCGGAGGATTCTCTGTCCCACTTCCGACTTTACTTGTGGTGGGACCGTGTTCATTATGATCTCAAAGGAGAAAAAAACCTTGTAAAAAAAGCAAAAACAACACCAAAACAATCTTATTCCAACCATTCCAGTAACTTTTTTTGTGTATGTATTTAGCTGTACTACAAGTAGTTGGTTTGTATGAGATGGTTAAAAAGGCCAAAGATAAAAGGTTTCTTTTTTTCCCCCTTTTTTTGTCTATGAAGTTGCTGTTTATTTTTTTTTGGCCTGTTTGATGTATGTGTGAAACAATGTTGTCCAACAATAAACCGGAATTTTATTTTGCTGAAAAAAAAAAAAAGATCTGAAGGTCTATGGTACAGCCTCCTAGAATGTGAGAGGTTGGCATGTAGAGCAGAAGACAGAAGAAAAGGGCAACTCTTTTCAAGATTTTGGCCCGAAGTCTCAAATTTACAGTTATGCCAGAAGGTGAATTATCCCTGCTACAAACAGCTTAACCTCATGATTTTGCAAAATATGGCCTCATCTTTTGTCCTTTCCCTAGTCTTGTGTATATATCCCTGTCCTTTCAAGGGCTTCTTTGACATGAGCAGAGTTTATCAACCATGCAAGGTGTTATCTGAGCAGACCCACAATTTACCCAAATGCCAAAAAGTGAAGTGGAGGTGGGGACTTGCCTACCATGATGTGCTCTGCCGTGCATTTTCTCTGCATTTCCTTTTCTATCTGCCACTTGATCGAGAGACACATGCATAAACACCCACATATTTCAAAGCAACAGGCCTCTTTCTTCAGAGAGAAATATCAATTGGGGCATCAAGGCAATGCCTCTGTCAGATAAAGGCCGATATTTTTAACAGCAATATTTATCACCACAGTAGCAATTCTGCTGTTGCAGGTGCAACGTGGCCATTTATAGCTGACTATGAACAAGTGTCCCGAATGTATAGTATACACACATATTAACAGAGGGATCTTTTGCCGACAGAAATATAAGCTCTCTCGTGGGTTTGTCATGTTGGAGTCTTTTAAGCAGAGGAAAATATGTCTTTTGCAGCAGGATCTATAAAATAATGAAAGGAGCCAGGCAAGGTGGCACACACCTGTAATTTCAGCTAGCTAGGACACTGAAGCAGGAGGATCGCAAGTTTCAGGGCAGCCTTGGCAACTTAGCAAGACTGTCTCAAAATAAAGAAAGAAAAAAATAAAAGAAAAGAAATTAAAAAATGAAATAAAAATAAAGAATAAAGAAAGGGCTCAGTGGTAGAGTGGTAGAGTGCCACTGAGTTCAATCCCCAGTACAGCCGAAAGAAAGAGATCAGAAGAGAAGTTCTGAAAGACAACTTCTCATCAGAATATCCTGTGGGGTGAACACTACCTAGAAACTCTTTCAATAAAGGACTTGTGGCCTCATGTGCTAGGAATGCTGCCCGTCAACAGCCTTCAGCTAGCAGCAAATTTGGAAACTGCTTCAGCTGCAGAGAATTCCCTCACCTAAAGGGATGGTCTTCCCTCAGAGCGACACCAAAGACTGAAAAATGTGAAATATGAAGCTCTGGCCATCTCAGGGCAACAAAGTCTGACTTGGAAGGGCTGTTCTAGTCTTCAGAGCTTCCTGTGAAGCCTAAATTGAAGGCAACTTCTTCTTACTACTTTCATCCCCATCCCTTCCATAGGTGCTGATTCTAAGAACTTTTCTTTCCCACAACTCCAGTTCAAAATCAGCTTCTCAATGACTATTACCCACAACATTGGGTTAGCAGGAGTCACCTCCTTCTGTGATACTCTTTTTTTTTGCGGTACCGGAGATCAAACTCAGGACCTTGTGCTTACAAGGCAGGTGCAGCACCACTGAGACAAATCTCTGGAAGGAATCACCTCCTTCTGACTCCATGAACCTTGTGAAAAGAGTCATACGACTATATAGCATGTATGATTTTGATTTTTGATTTTGATTTTTTAAATAATTTTTAAATGAAATATATTTTCTTATTGCAAAATAACGTATCTTAGAAAATTTACAACACATAGATTATAAAAAGAAGGAAAGAAATATCCCATTGCTTGTCTTGATAATTCACTACTTCCTAAAAAATGGACTGGTTATATTCAGGCATCCAAAAAGATGGAGTAGACCAGTGGGTGTTTGGAACGCCTACATTTGCCCAGCAGTGATGAGAAGCCCCAACATCTGGAGGTGTGAACTGAGGCCCGGTGGAGAACATGGATTTCTACAGGAGTAATAAGGAGTGTCCTCTCCCCACTCTCCTCCCAGAGCACTGTCAGCAGAAGCCCATCAAAGGGATGTTTAAAAAGACCCAGAGCCTCCTAACACAATGCGAGAATGTCCAGTTTTAGCCAAAAATCATTGTCATACTAAGACACAAACATGAAACCAAACAAAAAAAAGATCATCTATATATGAAAACGTCAAGATGACAGGGATTTTAGAATTATCTGACAAGAATTAAGCATTCAAAACAAAGGAATTAACAATATTATTGAAACATATGAAAAAGTAGAAATCCTTAAAGAAAAAGAAATTTTTCAGCAAAGAAACAGATGAAAAGAACAAAATAGACTTCTTATAACTGAAAATTTAATAGCTACATAAAAAAAGCTTGATGGTCAGGTTCAACAGCAAATTGAATGAGGAAAGAATTAGTGAACTGAAAGAAAAATAATAGAAACTACCAGATTTAAACAATTCAGAGAAAAATGATTAGAAAAAAAAATGAACAGAACCTCAAGGACCTGTGAGACTGCAACAAAAGATCATTCAGTCCTGGAAGAAGAGGTAAAGGGCAAGGCTAAGAAATGCTAGAAGAAATATGATTGAAATTTCTAAAATTTGGCAAAAGACAAAAATATACAGATCTGGTAAGTTAAGTGACTACCAAGTAGGATAAACTCAAAGAAATCTAGACCTAGACAAGTCATAATTAAATTCTTAAAAAAGAAAAAGTCTTAAAAACAGCCAGAGAAAAATGACACTATACTTATAAGAAATAGCAATTCAAATGACAGTGAAGTTTTCATCAGAAATTATGTGTTATGGTTTGTCTCTAGATGTCCCCCCAAAGCCTCATGTGGTCATAGGCTCTTTTGGAGGTGGCTGAATCTAGAGTGTGTGATTGATTCATGGTGGGAATGGGCCCGAGGGCACAAGGATTAAGGGGGTGAGTGCTCCCTGCCCTAGGTAGTCTGAATAAAATAAAAGGGGCAGAGAGATGCTGTTAAGGTCCCTTGTTGGTTTTGCCACTTTGTGTGCACCATGTTGTTTCTCTTCTGCAATGCCTCTCTGCCGTGTGCCACCCTGCCTTGGAGCCAGCTGATTATGGACTGAAACCTCTACGAACTGTGAGCCAAATAAACCTTTCCTCCTTTAACTTTAGGTGTCAGGTATTTTGTCTCAGCAATGAGAAAAGTAACTAACACATTATGGAAGACAGAAGCAAGTGGCATAATATATTTTAAGAAAGAACAAAAATTCAGAATCTTTGGCTTAGAAAAATCTGTCCTATAGGAATGAACAGGAAACTTAGATATTCTCAGTTGAAGGAAATAATATTGTCATCAGTAAAGCTATTCCAAAAGAATCTCTAAAGGAAGTGTTCTAAAAAGAAAAGAAAATTGTATAATTAAAAAAAAGAAAACAGAGGTGGGATAGATCTTGGAAGATGATAAAAGACAAAAGTACATGGTGAGCAAAAGAAAGAAAGAAAGGAAAGAAAGAATACAACAGGTTTTCATTCTCTAATGTTTTCTAAGACAGCTTAATCAAAAATTACTACAATTTGCCGGGGATTTAGCTCAGTGGTTTCATTGCCTGCTGCGCAAGCACAAGGACCCAAGTTTGATCCCTGGTACCAAAGGAAAAAAAAAAAAATTACTACAATTAGCTCAGTGGCATAGCATTTGCCTCACAAGCACAAAGTCCTGAGTTTGATCCCTGGTACCAAAAAAACAAAACCAAAAACAAAAATTACTATATTATCTGATTTGTTCTAAATGTTTGTAAAGCTAATGTGTAAGACCGTCATATAGCCGGGGATTTAGCTCAGTGGTTTTGCTGCCTGCTGCGCAAGCGCAAGGACCCGAGTTCGATCCTCAGTACCCCCCACAAAAAAGGATTTTACTTATGTCATATTATAAACAGGGAAGAGAAAGTGGATATAAAATGAGGTAAGATTTTTATAGTTTAGTCAAACTGTAAAGTGATAATATCTGAAGACTCTGAAAAGTTATATACAAATACTGTAATACCTAGAGCAACCACTAAAAAAAGCTGAAAAAATAGATATACTCAAAAACACTATGGATAAATCAGAACAGAATTCTAGAAAAAAAAAGTTTCAGTGAGTCATCAGAAAGCAGCAAAAAGCAACTATAAACAAAAAGCAGATCAGAAAACAAAATGTTATATATAAGCACTTGCATATTAATAATCACGCTAGATGTAAAGGCTCCACATATATCAATGAAAAGACAGAGATTGCCAGTGGAACTAAAAAGCATGACCTAACTCCATGCTGTCTACCCAAAACAAAAAAAAAAAAACAAAATCAATCACTTCAAAGGTAATGATGCATGCTGAAAGTAGAAGAATAGAAAAAAATATATTATGGGGCTGGGGATTTGGCTCAGTGGCACTGCGTCTGCCTCACAAGCACAAGGTCCTGAGTTCAATCTC